TATCCTTTTTTCGACTTCTTAGAATATAAAACGAATTATTTAATTATTAAAAACAATGCATAAAAAATATTCGCATGGAAGAAGTGGAGAACTACGTCGTCCACCGACATTTAACGGCGAGAGGATTGCTTTGTAGTGGCGGAGGTACCACTACAGTCTCGTTATATGGCGAAATTACCCTTCAATGATTACAAAATGACAAACCTCGTGACTGTTTCCTTTTCCCCCAAAAACTGGTCCATTTAGTCCACGTTTACAACTATCAATTCTAATTATATTCTCATCCTCTTTTATAAGTGTTTAATTCAAAATTTGGAAGCTATAAGAATGCTAAAACCTATACACATTTATTATTATTATTTTAAGAATAGTTTTGTTGATATAACTATTTTTTTAAGATTGTATCAATATTTTTAATGAATTTTTTTTAACCATTTTTATTTTCATTGCAAAAATCCTTAATCATCTGTTAAAACCTCCCTTATAAGGTTGGTATGATATTATGTATTGATTTGAATGGTAGCAAAATTTGTGCATGTATTAGTTGTCACATAATTTATTTATGATAATAACACCTACGTAAAGCTTTAGTCATTGATGTGGGGAACTCGTGCAATGCACGGGCATTAATTACTACCAATTAAGCAAAACATAAAATTTTAACATGTTTAAAATTAACTATCACTCTTGGCATGGTTGAAAATGGGAAGAAAGTAAAAACGAGATGCATATACACACGTGCCCAATCCATGGCTCACGCGTTTTGACACGTAGCAACTCAATCCTTTACAATTCATTTCCAATTTTATCTCTTCAAAGCCTCCAAAACTGCCACTGTCCACAAACTTGGCTTATAAATGGAGCTCACTCACTCACTGTAATCACTCACTCACATTATCTCTCTCACTCACTCACTCACTTGTGAGGGCTCCGATATGGTGTCACTTGCTCCGTTTCAACGTTGCTGTTTCCTCTTTTCTCTGTTCATCGCTGCGGGGCAGGTTATCCGCTGCCTCGCCGGTGCAGATGCCACCGTGGAACCCGAAACGGTGCGTTTTGACACCGGTGGTTTGAGCAGAGCGGTTTTTCCGAAAGGGTTCATATTCGGAACGGCCACGTCTGCGTATCAAGTCGAGGGTATGGCCCACCAAGACGGTCGCGGCCCAAGCATTTGGGACGTTTTCATCCAAAAACCCGGTTCGTAAAAAAATCTAAATTTAATTTTTTTTTTCTTACATTTCTTTTTTCACGATTATGTTGTGTTGGTGCTTTCTATCTTACAAGATGCGAATGCCACGAGTAGAGGTTTCTAATTTCTTGTCCGCATTATAAATAAATTTTTATTTATAATTTTCATAATCATTTCTTTTTTCTGAATTAAAATACAACTAATAACTACATTTTAGATGTAAAATAAAACATAGAAAAGTGTATTGAATATTAAATTACACGAAAACAATATAAACAACATGATCATTTTTCATCAATTATTTATTGTTTGTTTAAATACAAAACAGGTATTGTCGCAAATAATGGCACCGGAGAAGTTTCTGTTGATCAGTACCATCGCTACAAAGTAAGTGGCTTTTTTTTTTTTTTTTAAATATGAAGTTTTAATGTGACTTTTTAACATGCTTATTCTTTCCTCTAACTGCATGAAGTTAAACTGTATGTTACAAAAACTGATTTAATTTCTAAGTGTATACAGAATATGAATTGGTATCTGACTATTATAGATTGATGATAAAATGGTATCTAATTGATATTCAGAATTAAAGTTTTATAATTAAATGGTCTCATAAAATTTAACATGGGATTTTTTTTAGACATTGGGTGATTAAATTATATGGCCATTTATCATTCTTTCCTTTTCAATATTAAAAAAAAAAAGTTATTTTTTAGTTGGACCCATCTGTGAAAATATATTTCAACTTGCAGTCTTGTACTGTCGGCCCAAGTTAACATGTCTTCTTACCTTACCTTAAAATCTTGCTTTTTTAATTCTTTTACACCTTGAAACTTGTCACATTTTTTTTTTTCTAATTTTCTCTTTTGTCCTATCTATCATGTTTAATGGTTTTTTTTTTGTAATTTGTAACGAAGGCCTTTTTCAACCTTTTTTTACCTCCAACTGTAACTTGTTTCATAAATGTATTGTGATTAAGTTTTACCTCTAGTTCTTCTCTGTTAGAAGGAACAATGTGAGCTAAAGTATGTTAAATTTGGCAGGAAGATATAGATCTAATGGCCAGCCTGAATTTTGATGCTTACCGGTTTTCAATCTCGTGGTCCAGAATTTTTCCGAGTAATTTAGTAATACTTGATTTATTTATTTGTCCATAGCTGAATTAAATTGTAGAATTCCCTTAATAACCGAGTTTCAATTTCACTACCACTGCAGATGGAACTGGCTATGTAAATTGGAAAGGTGTGGCATACTACAATAGGTTGATCGATTACTTACTAGAAAAAGGTAACTTTTATAGCATACTTACTATTTGAAATGTAGTGTTCAACTTTTTGTTATTGTTCATTTGTTCCTCATTAATTTTCTGCAACTATTGCAGGTATTACTCCGTACGCAAATCTCTACCACTATGATCTTCCTTTGGCACTTGAGGAGAGATACAATGGATTATTGAGTCGCCAAGTTGTGTAAGTACCAATATATGTACAAGAAAAAAAAGCGAATTATTGATCTTTTAAATGCATATTTTTATTAATTTCCATAGCTTAATACTTAAAGTAAGTTTGATAAAAAAAAAGTACATGTTGACATGCTAATAAATGCAATGATGTATAACTAATATGAATGCTTAAATTGCACAGGAAAGATTTTGCAGATTATGCAGAGTTTTGTTTCAAGACTTACGGTGACAGAGTTAAGAATTGGATGACGTTTAATGAACCTCGTGTGGTGGCTGCTCTTGGCTATGATAATGGTTTCTTTGCCCCTGGAAGGTGCTCAAAACCATATGGGAATTGTACAGCTGGTAACTCGGGCACTGAGCCTTATATTGTTGCACACAACTTGATATTGTCACATGCAGCTGCTGTTCAAAGATACCGAGAGAAGTATCAAGTAATCTTAACAGATCTAGTCCTTTTGTTTAAATAAAGTTGCCTATTAGTATATACAAAAGAAGAAAGTAAAATGAATTGAGTTTCTTCCATGAACTAAAGGTTTTTTTATAGAAGATTTCTCGTATAACTTCTCTAAAAGTTTTAGTGCATAAGTTGATTTTAATTAAAAGAAAAAGTTCAATTTATTTCAACTTCCTATTTTCTTCCCTTATAGTGTTTATTGATAAGTTTATCCAAACAGAGCTTTAATTAAGAGGCTAAAGTGTTCTTATGGGGCGATGAATGTGTTTGTTTTAGGAAAAACAAAAGGGAAGGATTGGGATCCTCTTGGATTTTGTTTGGTATGAGCCTCTTACAAGATCTAAGGCTGACAATTTAGCAGCTCAAAGAGCCAGAGATTTTCATATTGGATGGTAAAATTTTTTAGCATTTGTTATCGATCCTACATTACACGGTTAAGAATTTACCTGTGAGTGCGAACTCTCTCTCCCCTGTGAAAACTTTCACACACTTGATAACAATTTTAGTGGTTAAATTACCAGGTTCATTCATCCCCTTGTTTATGGAGAGTATCCAAAGACTGTTCAAGAAATTGTTGGGCAAAGACTCCCCAAATTCACTCGTGAAGAAGTTAAAATCGTGAAGGGTTCAATCGATTTTGTTGGAATCAACCAATATACTACCTACTACATGTATGATCCTCATCAATCAAAACCTAAAGTCCCAGGCTATCAAATGGACTGGAATGCAGGGTTTGCTTGTAAGTGTATGCTTCCTTTGGCGCCATTGATTTAAATATTGTCTGTTCATTTCCATAACTAACATTTTTGTTTTTATGAACATTGAAGATGCAAAGAATGGAGTGCCAATTGGTCCAAGAGTAAGATTAAACTTAGTGATAGATATTCATTACATTATATAGATATCATACAAGTGCCCAAGGTATGCATTGACTAATGTGTATAAGTTGAATTTTTACAGGCTAATTCTTATTGGCTTTACAACGTACCATGGGGCATGTACAAATCATTGATGTACATAAAGGAACGTTATGGAAACCCAACAGTGATCTTATCCGAAAATGGTAAAATTATATATATTAGGGTTTGTTTATTATGAAAAAATAGTTCTGTTTTCACTTTTTATTTATAATATCCACGGTTGTTTTCAATTTTTTTTTCCTGTTTACAAAAAATTATAAAGGAAAACACTGGCTGTATGGTTTTCATCATTCGTGTACAGATCTTTGAAAACAAGATACAGATTGAAAATAAAATGACAATTTTGAAATTAAATTAAATACAAAAGTCGTTTCCTCAAAGTAAATGAACTTCTGCTTTATTGCTGTGTCATCTTTTCTATGTTTGGCTTTGGTGTGACATTTGTATTCTGTTTTTTCAATGTGTTGCATGCAGGCATGGATGATCCGGGCAATGTGACTCTTCCCAAGGGTTTACATGACACCACAAGAATAAATTATTACAAAGGCTATTTGACTAACCTAAAGAAGGCCGTTGATGATGGAGCTAATGTGGTTGGCTACTTTGCATGGTCTTTGCTAGATAACTTTGAATGGAGGTTGGGTTACACATCAAGGTTTGGCATTGTCTATGTTGATTTCAAAACCCTCAAGAGATACCCCAAGATGTCAGCTTACTGGTTCAAGCATCTCAATGCCAGAAAGAAGTATTAATAGCTGAGCTCAACATCTATTTTCTAAGCTTCTAGTTGCTTCAGAAATCATGTTTTAGTGGTTTTGGTTGAGTTAAAAGTGCTTCTGTAATTGTAATCATGTGACTTGATTAATGCAAGTTTTAGAATAAAATGATCATTTAAGTCAATAACTTCCTTTTTCTCTTAGCATCATATTGTTCAATTTTTGTTTTATTTAATAATTTCTTTAAAATATTAGATTTTTACTTTTTGGCAACTCTATTCTTGACAGTGTTCAGCTGATAAACTGCATCATTAAGTGGTCGACACAATAGATGAACAGTCAATTTCGTTTCAGAATTTCTGATCATAAAGGTTATATGAATGATATTTTAAACCTGAATGTAAAGTGTTTATTTTTGAAGCACGAGTATAAGAGCTTTTAAATATTTTACTAATTTCACTTGAAATGATATATTTTTTGTAAAACAAAAAATTTCTTCCAAGATCATGCTTGATACTTCATTTAATACAAACCCCAAGGAATAAGAGTACAATGTCGTTAATCTCAATGCAAGCGCCCATTTGATTCTTTTGCTTAAAAAATAATTAATTTAACAATCACACCTATATTAAATTCTAAATAATTAACAGATATCACAATTAAAATCTAAGAAATGAAGTCAAAATTGCCGCAAAAAAATACGTACATATTAGAAGATTACACTCTAGAAAAGAAATTTAAAAGTGTTCTGTTGTTATTACTGTCCGTTTTCTTGCTGTTGCTTCTTCTATTGGATTTCTTTTTACTTTGACTTCTTCCTTTCAAATCAGCAATTCTCTTGGTCTCAGAACTTACACTTTCTGGCGAATCCATTGTCATGCATACAACATCAGATTTTTCTGCTTCAGTTACTCCTGAAACCAGTTCATCAGTGGCTTCAACTTTATCTGAGAAAATGTTCTGAAATTTCCTTTTCCTTGAGAGATTCTCATCAGACCCCTCTTCTTGGAAGTTATCCGGAGACATGCACAAGTCAGTACATTCCATGCTGCTTGCAACAAAAATCTCCTTTCTTTGACATGTTTCCTCATTTTTTCTAATCCTGAATGGATTGTTGTCAGGAACCTTCAAAGGAGTGTTAAGAGGTATAATGATCTTTTCTTCCGTTCCAATTGTTCCCAATGGCATGATTAGTTTCTCAAGTGGCAATGCTTCATTCGAATACTTGTCTTCATCTGAGACCCTTGTCACTGTAGAGAAACAAAGTATTATGACATGCTCATAATTAAAAATATAAGCCATGCTGGCAAAAACTTGCATAAACTTAGCAATGTATTGGTAGATGTTGTGAGCATCTCCAATTTAAATAACTTGCCTATACTATTTTCTCTGGTGTATTGGGAGGCAATGATTGAAAAACTATTCTTCAGTCTAGATGGAGCAGGAAGTTCAGGTTTCTGGACTTTATCAATGCTTTGGAGATCAGTTGAATGTAGAGGAAATCTAGAACATTCAGACTTATCAAAAGCTTTCTTAGTTGATGGATTCAAATTTCCTTCAGCTACTGCTTTGACTATAGATGGGGGAATTTCTCTAATAGCATTTGGGATTGGTCAAGGAAACAATCATATAAATTCAACAGGCATAAATGCTAAAATTGACCACATATTTTCTTGGAAGTGCTAAAAAACTACATTGAAATGGCATGATATATATTTAGAATTCCTAGGTAAATATTTATACAAGTCCAATAACTTCCAAAAACGGTGTCTGACAGTAATATCAGTAACAGGCAAGAAAACAATGCTGGTAGGACAAGTTGAGAATAGTGAAATAATAGTATTAATCCTGAAAAAGAAGACACAATAAAGGATACGGGCCCAAGAAATCGAGTTTCCCATCAAGTGACTGAAGAAAATTTTGTGGAAGAGGCTTCAAGTGCTTAAGCTCTCTAGCATTGGTATCATATCTACATAGATATTCCAGAAGAAAATACAGTCATTTATAAAAACTAACAAATAACCCTTCTAATATTAGGAAAGAGTTTTAGTATTGGTACATGCGAGCATGCTGAAAAACTGCTACAGCCTCTTGAAAGTTTTTGGCATAATCTTCAGGCATTTGGTCACCTTTCTCGAGCTTAAGAACAGACAATATCTGTTAAATAATTGATATATTAGTCATAATTAAATTGAATATGAACCTTAATTCTGATATGTCTGGGGCTGTATCTGCTACCAATTTATCTGTAGTTATCACAGTAGAAGCGGAAAACAAATGTATTGGTTTCTATTATATAACATCTAATGGTGACAAATTCCAATTTAATAAATATGCATTTTTCTAGTTCTCGTTTTCCAAAACATAATCATAATCTTAAAAGATATAAAAACTGGAAATCTTGAAAGACAAGTCATACCATTGAGAATCTTACTATTGCAAAACTAAATGCAAAATTCTCAGCTTAAAAAAATACTACTGAGCTCTCGGCCATAAACATTACTTAGCATAAAACAGTAGAACCGATTAAATACCTAGAAAAAATAGGTTGAAAATGCAGCTCTTTATCACGTGTCGAGTACCTATCACACTTGTATCTCAGTAATTCAGGTTGAAAACCTATGCAGAAATAGGCATTATATTTTTTCTATAATCCTATCATCACTTTGGTTTATTGATGAATTCATAATAGATATGTGAAATTGGGTTGCTTAACATGAAGAGAAAGAATATATCTATCTATGAAACAAATAAAAAATTGTAAGGAATAATGTCAACACTTAATGTGAACAGTCCAATTGAGTGTCATCATCACATCACGCGGTAATAATAGGGGGCAGGAGAGCTTCTTAATTCTAAAAATTTCTGTTCAAATTTTCTTCAACAAGATATTTTCTAGCAGATGAGAACATACTTACTCGATCTAGGTTCCGATACTTGGAAACCAAAGCATGAGCTCGAGCAATGCCAATTCCTGGTACAGATGGAAGAAAATCACAGCCAGCTAAGACACACATACCTGGAGAGGGGAAACAAAGAACCTGTCATAAACCCAAAAGTATGAGATTTCTTTTCTGACACAAACAAGGAAACTCTTCAGAAATTAGTAGAATCTCTTGATAATATCATTAGTTACTTGTCATCTCGAGTTAGCGCATCCAACATTTCAATGCAAACAGATTCAAAACAAGGTCTTTTAGGCTAGTTCCAAGTTTATTTTCTCTTTTTCTTGGTTGATAAGACAATTATGCATCAAGCCCTAGAGCAGTTATATGAAGACATCTGCATATGTTCATCATAGGTTACACAGCAACCTTGATCATTTCATGCATGTGAGCACATATTATCGAAGTCCACAAACATCAAAATTACCTGTAAAGAGTTTCATATTGAAACTCCGAAATGAAGGTCTGACAGACTCAGCAGAAAAAATCTTCTCTAACTCAATTCTTTCACCATTCCCATGACGGTCCATCTTAAAAATAATCTGTTCGAAAACACCGGATTACAATACAAACACAGTACCTCTATGGAACTGGAGAAATAAATCAAGACAAAAAAATTAAACCTCCACGCACAATATCACATTGCTGTAGAAGTTCTTACATCTGGACAGCCATATGCTATTAGATCACTATCTTCTGTGATCACTGCTGCAACTCCACCATTTTCTACTCCAAGGTGAGACAAGTACGCTAACTGGGCATCTGCTTCATATGGAGCAACAACGAACTCAATTTTCTCTGATTTGAGGGTCTGCAAGGTAATTAAATTAGATAATGGAATTACCCTAGAATGTAGATTAACCAATGATGAATCCTTCAGAAGTCTGCACAACAGATACCTGAATTAGCTTATGTGCCATAACAGGAGTAATATTCACTGCTCTCTGCACACAAAAGAAAGAAAGATCCTTTAATTGTTTTGCTTCACCGGCATAAACATCAGCATATAGGAAAATGAAAGGCAAAATCTTTAATTACCATGATGATAACAATTAGATGGAGAACAAAATGTAGATGCAGTTCCTTAAGGGTTTTGGTTATTGCTCTCCAATTAAAATAAAAGTTTTACCCAATAATTTGCATAATAAATGTTTACAATAAAGGTCAGTATATGTTCCTCAGACAAAACATTAGATTCATTAGATAAGAGCTCCTAAAACACACGAGAACTTCGTCTAAGTTTCGTCCTTGAATTAGTTGCTCGCATTGCACATTGCTCAATTTTTCATTTTTTTTTTCAACTTTAAACTAGCCATGACTACTCCAATAAAACTCAACATTCATCTAATTAAGACAGCATGCAGTATCATGTTACAGACGAATCTCCGTAGTAATTAGAATTTCCTCCTTAAAGACCACTGTTATTTATTTAATTAGTTTTCAAATCTGATAAATTCTGCTACCTGGAAGAGCTCTGAAGCTGCACCAACATTCCCTTCTTTGAGCTTCGCTAATGCTAATTCTCGATTAGTCCTCCTTTTTCTACAATAATCGAATCACACACGAAGACTCACCTCATTGAAAGGATAGATATGACAAGAGAATGAGAGCCAAGAGAGTAAAAAGTTCATGCAAAACCTAAGACTTTAGATAAAAGAAAAGGAAAAGAAGAAGAAGAAGAAAAAAAGCATACCTATTTCTCTCTTCCTCAGTTGCTGCCTTGCAAGGAACATTGTTGCCATCAAAAACAACTACCGGAGTTATTTTATAGAAGCGAAGCAAGTTCACTCTATGCATAAAGTATTCAATGTATCGCCACTTCCTTTCACTATCAGAATCAAGACAAAGCTCCATACTGCACGAATAAGCTGAAAAATCAAAATGCCAACTTCAACTTGTCACCATTAGTTTCCCCAAAATTGAAAACCATTCACACAGTTTAATGCTCAACACTAACCCCCTTTGTGAAGCCACGAATACGCATCAATGCCCACCTGCAGATTATGCAAAGTGAGTGAACACGAACACACCCCAGATAAAATCTTGCGGAAAAATCGAAACTTAGAAAAATGGGGTCGATTCTTACGCGCTTTCCAGCGTACTTCTTGATGTGGACAGGTTCAATGTAAGGTTTCATGAACCTCAGTAGATCCTTAATGCCCATTTGCAATGTCCTAGGTTTTTCTGTTGCTTTCTGGGTTTTGTTTTGGGTTTATTCCAATTTTCTTCGCTTATTCGTTATATTGGTTCGGAAATTTTAATTTTTTACGCAGATTAATAGGAAAACAGAAAATGGCGGGAAGAACGCGAAGTGGCGAAAGAAAAAGAGGGACGAGAAATATTGTCATATTGTTACATGTCGGTGACACAAGGTATGTACAGTCCAATGAGAAATCTTCACCAAGTAAGGTGAAGACGTGTTCGATTTTGATTGGTTATTGGGTGAGGGTTATTATGGTATTTCAGTGAAAATATTTACCGCGATTAAGTTTGAATCGTGAAAGGCTTGCTTCGCGCTTTTTTTGTTTTCTTGTTCTGCTTGAAAAATTAATTCAAAATGTATTATTTTTCTAATTGAAATTAAAATATATTAGTAAAGATTAGTAATTGTAAATATTTTTCTTTGTGATAACTATATTATATTTGTAGCTTCTCACAGATTATAGTAAATGAAAATAATAATAATAATAATATTTAATATTATATTTTTGTTTATTTTTTTGGCATTTTTTTAAACTATTACAAGTATTTTATTACTTTTAAAATGAATATGTTTTTTTTTCTATTTAATCAATCTATCTTTCAGTTTATTAGGTTCTTTTGTAGCAGATATTTTTTTAAAATACAGATATAAAAAAATATTTAAAAAATTATATTTAGATTATATAAATTTTAAATAAAATAATATTATCTATATTTTAAAAAAATATAATCATTACTTTTGTAAAATATTGGTTTATAATCTTATTATATAATCCGTTGAGCTTTAGTTTACATATTAAATAAATAAAGAAAAAATTAGTTTAATTTTTTGGAATATTTTTGGGAGTTAATTTTTAGAACATTTTTGGAAAATTTATAGAAATATCATTTTATAATATTTTTAAAAAGTTTTAAAAGAGTGAATTTAAAACTTATTTATCTTAGGAAAATATTATCTTTTTAAATAAATATGAAAGGTTATGAAAATACAGGCCCAAGAAGAAAAGCCTAAACGTGATCCATTATCTATGGACCAAGTCCATGTTGTCAGATCTAATCTAAACGTACGTCGGCTCATCCCAGTCCAGCCCAAAAGCAAAGTCCATTAGGAAGGTGAGAAAGGGAAAAAGAAAGAAAACAAGAACGCCGTTGTCTCGCTCGAGTCCTCGACCTCCCAGAGTTCCCGTTCCAACAAAAACACGCGGCAACTTAAACCAATTAACGCCACCACAACCTTTAAACACACACTCTTTCACTGTTTTAATTTTCTGCGTAATTCAAAAGAAACCCTAACAATCCCAATCCAATGACTCCTCGCGTCGATGATTTCGAAAACGATAATCTATCCTCCACCGATGACGACGATGACGACGGCTTCAAGGAGGATATGGCCGCGCTCTCCCGAGCCTGCATGATCGTTGTCCCAGGAGCTGACGATAATTCCGCCGCTGAAGACGATGTTCGGTCGGTGGACCCGCAAATTGATGCTGGCACCGCCATCGTTCCTGTCGGCACCGACTCGGACTCCGACGATCAGGACGACCTGGAATGTCTCAAGAGAGTGCAGAGCCTCTACCAGCCTCTGTCCGTTCTTCCGCCGCTTGAGCCGTCGGCGGCCGTGTCTGACGACGACGATGAGTTCGATGACCTCGAGACCGTGCGCGCCATCATGAAAAGGTTCGGCAACTACAACGAAGGTATTTGAGTTTCCTCTGTGCGTTTTCACTGTTGAATTTCAGTAGTAGTTTTTTAATTTCGAATGGGAATCTTAGGGGAAATAGTAATGTAACGTGAGTTACAAGACGCGATAAATAGTTAAATATTGACGTTCATCGAGTAAGTGGTGGTTGGAACTGAACTGTGTTTGATTTTGAAAGGATGCTTTTAAGTAAGTTTCGGATGTCTCTTGTGTAGTTTCTGAGGAGTGCCTAAGCTTTATAAGCTCTTATCAGCCACTATTTATAGTTTCTAGTCAATGCGGATCCTCAGTTTTCCCTAATAATGATATGGTATTTCTTGTCAATGGGGAGGTTTTCTAGTCAAACCTGGCTCTGATACCACTTGTTAAAATTGCGCAGCGGAATGTACGTGGTCGGACAAAAACCAAGAGGGGGTGAATTGGTTTCTTAACAAAAATTAGGTTTTTAAAATTTTTCCCAAATTTTACCGATTAAAAACTGTGTAAATGTAAATAGAGAAGAAAAGAGAATCTTACACAGGAGAGATTTATACTGGTTCGGATCAAAAGACCCTACGTCCAGTTGCTAATCACTCAAACAGAGGATTAACGCTGTCACTATAATCAAGTTGTTACAAACAAATTACAATTGAAAAGATAAAGATAAGAAAACACCTCTCTTGAAATCCACAAGAGATGATGAACAGCTTTCCCTAGAGACGGCACAACACACAATCCACTAAGAACTCCACTTAGTGATTCTTATCGCTTCTAGCCTACACCAGGTTCCAAAAGCCCCTTTTTCTTGCAACAAACAGTTCTCTGGCACTACAGCACTTAACTTTTGTATGAAAAAGGTTGTTCTACTTTTTTGAGTGCCATAGAGAAGTTTAAATAGAGAAATTAGGGTTTGGGAATTGGGAATTTCGGAATTAGGGTTCTTGGAAATAGGGTTTTCGAAAATAGGGTTGATTTGAAGTTAAAAATCAAAATCTGTCTGTAATAATCGATTTTTAGGCTTTGTTGATCATATTTTTGTAACAAAAGCTTGGCATGGTGACAATTTCAGGTTTGCGGGAGGGTGGAATGGAAATGTTGGTCGAGGGGGATCAGACCTCGAGCCTGGGCTGTGAAGATGACATTGCTAATGGCTCAATCCGTTACGAATCAGATGGTGGTGAATTATGTCCTGTTTCTCAAGATCCTAATGAGGCTGCCACAGAGGAGTTGATTGAAAACATTGAAATGCAGCTTAGTGAGTTTGTTGAGAGTTCTGAACCTGATGGCTGGGAGTCATCCAGATTACCACAGAAAAGATTGAGCTGTCCTCCTGTTGTTCAGTGTTTTATTGATGCCATTAAGAAAAATAGGGATATGCAGAGATTTCTTAGAAGTAAGTTGGTTGAGCTTGAGGCTAAAATTGACGAAAACAAAAAGATAAGGAATAGAATTAAAATTCTTAAGGACTTCCAGGCTTCATGCACTAGAAGAACAGGGAATGCATTGTCACTGAAAAAAGATCCGCGTGCTCAATTAATATCTGCAAAAAAGTCTTCTGCTTCAAAGAAATCTAAGGTTAGTTGTGTGATGCTTTTATAGTTTGCTGAAGTCTGAATTATTATTTGTATTGTTTCATTGTGAAATGATGTTATATATATATATATATATATATATATATATATATATATATATATATATATATATATATATATATATATATATATATATATATATATATATATATATATATATATATATATATATATATATGTCCCTGGGTATATTACTGGATCTTGTTTAAGATTCTCTTCCACTTGAAACTCAATGTTTTAATTACAACATATTTGTTGTCTGTTTCGTACACTTTAATGGGTTTGAGTGGTAATATGAAATAGGTATGGAAGGGTTCTCTCCTATGAAAGCCTGGATACTTGAAACATGGATAATATCAAACAGGAACGGAGAGGAAGGGTTCTTAAAAATTGAAGATATGATACAGCCTATATATGCTAACATGAATTTAAAAAACTTTATATCATAGTTACCGATCTCAAATAGTGGCATGTGGCAGTCATCTTTGAAGATGCGGTAGTGAGAAACAAGATGACTGCTATTTTAAATATTATAATAGAGACTAAATAATTTATAGTACACATGTAAATACTAAAAAATACAAATAGAAAAAGAACATTAAAAATTACATAAAATAGCAAAATGTGAAAACCAACTGAAGAATGGAGTATGGAAAAATAATCCTGTAACATATGAGGGAACATAGGTTGAGACAGAGGTAACTTTATTGTGGAATGCTTAAAATGAATGGTTTAAAATCCTATTCTGTTTCTGAAGAAAAAATGCTTTAGAAAAGTTAGGAGAAATCAAAATTTTACCCCCAAAATCCTCAACTCAACAAAAGTTTCAGTGTAAAACTTGGTCTTTTGAAGCCTATATCACGGTAGCAGTGTATACAAAAATGCTGCAATTTTAGCTGCAATTGCTGCCTACTGGAAACCGCATCACTGTTTGAACCCCATAGTGCCCAGTGCTGTTCTATTCTGCTACTCTGCGACAGTGCCACTATAGTGCACTACTGACTACCATGCTTTTCATAAATGTGCTGTCTATAAAGTAACATTACTATGAATATCAGTGGGTGATGACTGCAATACTAATACACAAAAATAATACTTGTGATCATAGATAAAACACATACCATCACATCAATGTGTACTCTCTCCTCATAAACGTGTTATAACGTTACATACTTTCCCCCTACTCATGTTAGACTACTTTACCTTTTATTTATAATATTTGTAGTTTTTCTCTTTACAGCCTTCTATTAGAAGTGTGAAATTTACAGTCTTAGTTCTTTGATTCTTCTATTATGCCTAATTTAGGGGTGAGGGGCTGATTGAGGAGTTTGAATCTATTTCTTAGCAGTCTTTCATAATAATTGAGTGCAAGATTTTGGTAATTTAGTGTTATCTATTTACTAGCTTGTAGAATAGAATTCACCTTCTTAGTATTCTCGAAATTCCAATTGTCACTGATTAATTTTAATATTGGTAATTCTTTATTTAACTTTTTCCTGGCAGAAACATAAAAAGGCATCTGCAATGTGTTATGGCCCAGAAGAGAATTCTCATGTTGCTAATTATAGGATGGTATTGGAAAGATTTCCACTTTCATTGGATCGGAAAAAATGGTCCAAGGCAGAAAGGGATAGTCTTTTGAAGGGAATTAAGCAACAATTCCAAGAAATGGTGCTTCAACTTTCACTTTCAGTTGATAGAACAAGGTAATATCAATTCTGTTTGTCCTATATGACTAAATTACTAACTGCTGCTTGACCAACATGATCCTTCCCCTGTCGTGTTTTGAATTTTCCCCTTGACATACCGCCTTTACAAATCACAGTTCCGAGGGCTTGCTTGGAGATGCAGATGACATGGATGATATAATTGCATCTGTTAAAGATCTTGAAGTTACACCAGAGAGGATTAGAAATTTTTTACCTAAAGTTAACTGGGATTTGATAGCTTCCATGTATGTTGGTGGCCATACTGGTGCTGAATGTGCATCAAGGTATATATTTTGTAATTGGTCAGCTTTTCTTTTGTGTTTTTGTGCAAGGTTGATCTTTGTTATGATAAGTGTTTTATGTTACTGTTATTGTGCTATGCTTATATGCTTCATATCATATTTGCCCTAGGAGAGCAACATTGATACTGTTTTATTGGTACATTGTGGATTGAACGTTTTGAAATTATATTAATACACATAATGAGATAAGATATGCGAACATTGAACTTGAGTGAAGTACGTTTAAAGAATATAGATAAAGGTAGTATTATGATTTAGTAGAACCATGTTTTGGTAGGGGAAGGGGGGTCTTCATTTCATGTGAGGTTCAAATTGAAAACTAATTGACAAATCACAATCTCTTTAGGGTCAGCTTATGATGAAATAATGTAGTTTGCATCAGGGCGGACTCAAAAATTTTAGATGAGGAGGGTCAACATATGAAACTTAACTATCATATAAAAATAAATATATTACATATGAATATTATTTATTGAATTTAAATCTCAGAAAATAATTTTTATTTCATTCTTTTTTTCTTTTAAAAAATAAGTCTATAATTTTTTTTATATATTTTTAAAACTCAAATTGAATTTTTTCTATTCACATATAATATCAAAATAGTATCATAAAACATTAAAATAACTAATTAATTTATAACAAATAAAAAATTTATATAAATATTTCACATATTTATATTATACTACACATACTAATTTTTTATAAAAATAATGAAGAAAATAAACTTTTTTACTTCAAAAAAATTATCTGTGAGGTATCTCCTTTTAATTTTTTACCTTATACTTTCTTGAACAGAAGACAAAAAAACTAAAGAATAAAAAATTACAATTTTCATGTTATAAAGATGAAATTATAAAAAAAAAAAAAACTAAAAGAAAATTTTTTACAATTTTTTATGCTGAAAGTTGAAAAGGAGAAAGAAAAAAAATGAAAGTAAATGAGTGATAAAAATGTAAAGATAAAATAGGTGTATGATAGAAAAAGTTGGTCGAAAAATGAAAAGGTGAGAGAAGAGAGATAAAAATCTGAAAATAGAAAGAAAAAAGTATAAATGAATTTTGTATAAAAAAAATTATATTTATTATAAATAAAAAAATTAAGAGAAGAAAAAATAAAAAATTTTATTTATATTTATCAAATAATTTTTATTTAATTTAAAAAAGTAATTATATATATATATATATATATATATATATATTAAAAAAAAGTTTTGATTTGGGGTGTGGGTTCCTTCTACCTCTGGTTTCCTTACATAACTTGTTTCTTCAGGCTGGGTATTAAAATGCTCTATCAATCTATCATCGGGCTAAGATCAACTTTTCTCTTAATTGCACAGTAGATTTCATGACCTGCTTCATTACAACATGTGCTGTATTCTTAGTGATGTCAATACAGCTCTTTGACTATGATTTCATGTTTATTGCCTTTCCATGAAGAATATTTTTGCCCTACATTGCAGACTTCTATGACGATCACCATCACAGACAGTTTACCATTTTTGGATTTCAGTAAGAGTTCAAGATCAACACATCATGCAGGTGGGGTTGTACATGACATGATTTTTAACATGGTGGTGCTTAGTATGTCTGTGGTGGTTGTCATCACAGATGTCGGATATGTAGACCGTAGAATAGTGTCTATATGTATGAATAGTTGGATTCCATACTTTTGATTCTCTATATTTTAATGGTTTGCAACCACAGGTGGTTGAATTATGAAGATCCGATGATCAACCATGGTCCATGGACTAAGGAAGAGGACAGGTCTCTTTTACTTATTGTCCAAGATGCAGGCATCAGGAATTGGTTCAATATTGCTGCAGCATTGGGCACAAACAGGACCCCATTTCAATGCTTGTCACGATTCCAAAGGAGCTTAAATCCTTCCATGCTAAATAGTGAATGGACTGAGGAAGAAGATTCTCAACTCTGTTCTGCTGTGGCATACTTTGGTGATGGCAATTGGCAGTATGTGGCTTCTGTTTTAGAACGAAGGACAGGAACCCAGTGCTCAAATAGGTTGGTTAGCCATTTAAATTCTGTCCATTGTAATTTAGTTTTGCATATGGTTGCAAGCCCATTATCTGTAATCAAATAATATTTGACGTTAGCCTTCCGCCGTACATAAGATAACAAGATACATTTTATGTGTAGTTCACAGTTTGCTGATACTGACGCTTTGGGAACATCTTCTTTTAAGTTGTTATTATGTGGCCTTGATGACTAGTGGTGATTGTCAAAATGCACCAAAAATACTCTATAAACAAATACATATGATTTGATATCTGCATGACAGGAGAACAATAATATATCCATTCAGAATAGTTCAAGACTCTTTCTTTATTTGCTTTGTTTCTCTTACGAGGTTGCATCATGTTAAAAACGAAAGAAAAAATTTATTGAAAATGAAATAACACTATTACAAGAAAATATGGTCACTGATATTAAAAGCTTAAATATCTTCAATTATGTCTGGATCAATAAATTAACATTGAGTTAAGTTTATTGGAGAAGGGGAGAAGTTTATTGGTGGCTGCATTTTGTCTGCTCATGCAGATGGAAAAAATCCCTTTGTCCTGAGAAGAAAGGGAGCTTTACTCAAGAGGAGGACATACGTCTAACAGTAGCAGTCATGCTCTTTGGACGGAAATGGAATCAAATAGCTAAATATGTTCCCGGCCGGATCCAATCTCAGTGTAGGGACAGGTAATGCGATTTGTTTAAAATTTTTGATGACATAATTTTCTTATGGTCTTAGGTTCTTAAGTTCTTGAAGATTCTTATGACAGATACCTCAATAGTCTGGATCCTTCTTTGAAATGGGGTGGATGGACCGAGGAAGAGGATTTAAGACTAGAAACTGCAATTGCCAAGCATGGATATTGCTGGTCTAAGATTGCTGAAGAAGTACCTCCCCGTACTGATTCTCAATGCCGAAAGTATGAGTTCTAATTAATTTCAATTATGAAAAATCTAGAAGTCTTTAATTATATGATCTTACATGGATTCTTTCGATTGAACAGGAGATGGAAGGTATTATGTCCTGAACAAGTTCCTTTGCTTCAAGAAGCAAGAAAGAAGCAGAGGTCTATTATTGGAAGTAACTTCGTTGATCGAGAATCTGACCGCCCCACCATTACACTTAATGACTTTCTACCGATACTTGCATTAGCTCCAAAATCTGATGTAGGTGCTTCAAATCTCCGGAAGAAGCGCAAGTCAAGGTACTCCCCTTTAATCTCCCTTTCATTTTCCCCATGATTCTTAATATCTTGCATGTGATGCTAGCATTGTTAGGATAATTATCAGTATCATGTGCTGCTCAAATAATGTTTGAATTTGAATATTGGTTCGGGTATACCTTGTTTTCTAATTCTCGTTCATTGCATGCAGCAATGTTACCAAGAAAATGAGCTCCAGGAAACGTGCAAAGAGAACTCGACGTTGTACCAAAGAAGTACAAGATACAGAGGTATACAACGAGGATGAGTTCTATCCAGTCTCTGCATGCAGCAAACTTCCCAAGAATAAGAGGAGGTCCGAAAGACATGCAAAAAGCAGTCGAAATGGTCCCCAAGAATCAGTGGACATATCTCGTAGTGACAAGGTCAAGACATGCAATGAGGGTTCAGGAACCCAATCCACTATTGCGTATTCTGAAAATCAAGATCCAGACAGCATGACCCTTGCATGTTTTATACGCAAGAAATCAAATGAGGTATTATCTAGTTTTACTAAAACTCTGAGTCAGACTTCCTTCTCCAGGATTAGAGACGTTCCTGAGCAGGTTGAAAGTCAAAAGCCATCTGATCAAAGCGGCTTGTCTCTGTCACGTGATACTCTTGGAACTGAAAATTTGTTCGTGCAGCCGAATATTTCTGATAGACGAGTGAGAAACCCAGAGGATACAAATACTTTGACAAGTGATGATGACGACGACCGCATGACCCTTGCATGCTTTCTGGGAAAGAAACCCAAAAATGTGTGTCAACCGGCTAAACGAAATGGGGTATACTCTTCCAAATTCAAAACAGGATCTGTATTACTAAATGAAGAACATTGTGCAAGCATCATGTCTGATGACAGTGGACCGTCAATGTCAAAGCATGTTGAAGAGGACACTTTTTTACATGGTTGTGTTGCTGAACCAATGGATATCATTGTGGAAGAAAAGGATGATGAGCTTTTGACTTCCTTCGTGCAAAACAGGCCAAGGAGGGAGCGAAAACGTCCCAGTAGGTTTTTGTAGGCAGGTTAGCTTTTTTGTTTTCCCATTACTAGATATGAATAGAAGATATTGATTAAAAGTTGTGCAAAATGAAATTAGGTAGTGGCTAATTTATATACAAATGTTCGAGTAATTGAAAGCCCTCTTTATCATGATCACGAAGAAGTGCCTCCCTGTTAAAGGGACCAATTTTGGATTGATTTTGATCCGTTGTAAATTTCAATAGTATGGAAAAACCAGTAAATTAGATTAATTGATTTGCTGTCTACGTTTTTGGGATTGATGCAATTATTTTGAGAAGTCATTATAATTGTATCACAGTGATTAGGTTATTCTTTTTTTATTAAGGCTGATTTTTGTAAGAGTGTGACGCCCAATGAATACTTATAAATATAATGAAAAAATTCTTTTATAAAATTTTATATATTAGACTATAATTACTTTATAAGTTCGAAGGTATAATAACCATTTAGTGTCTAAGACCACATATACGTTATTTGTTCAGAATTTTATTAACAATTTTACAAATTGAAACATTTTTTGCTTAATTTGAAAAAGTAATCTTAACATAAGTAGATAATATTTAATTATCATGGATAATTCTGATCAAGTTATGAATACAGGGACAATAGAAAAATCTTGATTGGTGTTAGTTCTTGGTTTTATAATTAAAGTTGTCTGAGAAATTAGATTGAGGGAGTGACAAAAGTTTCTATTTTGAAATGCAATTCTTATTTTACCATTCATAGTTTGCTTTGTTTGTAGAGTGGGTAGTTTCTCCAAAAAAAAATTCTTTTTCTTTTTCTCAACCATTTTTGGCAAATTTTATACTAAGATTGAACTAACTTTACTCTTCTCTCCTTTTCTCTCCTGTCTTTTATAGTACCTAATCATAAATTTTAAAGTTTAGAAATTGAACTGAAGATAGCATACCCTTTTGTGTTCTGGATCATCTTTTAACACGATAAATAAATTGCTACAAATTTATGCGTAATCAAAATGATCATTATTCTCAATTGAAACGAATATTTCATATATTATAAAATCATTATCATTTTAAGATGGTGCATGTAGATTAAAAATTCAACAATTCTCCTGAATTTTTTTTTAATTGGAATTAGGCATTCTTAATTTTTTTCCAAGAAGAACATAAATTACTTTCATCGTTGTCCCAACAAGAATGCTTCAAATGCACATATCTTTAAACAAAGGTTATGAAACTAGTTTTTAAACTTTGGTGAAAGTTGAAATTGTGAATAGTTTAAAGTTATTAAACTAATTGATTAAATTAGATAAAATTAAAATAACATGTATAATATATTTTAATATAATTTTTAATTTTTGTATTAATAAACCATATTTTAAAGGTATTTATAATTCTATTTTTTAATTAATTTAAAACTCTTATAACGTTTTATTTATAGATAAAACATTTAATTATATTTATTTTCTTTCAATCATTATGTTTTTCTATATTGTGTATTTATTATTAATCTTACAACATTTCTATTTTAGTTTAAAATAATTTAAAAATAACACATTTTTAAAATAGACATATAAGATATTTAAAATGAATTATATATGCAGTTAAATACACAATGTAATCTAAAACATATTTTAAAAAATAATTTTACCATCTATTGATATTAATTTACAGTAATTTATAATTTAACAATTATGCGATATATGGTATAATATAAAAGTATATAAATAATAATAATAGTAATAATAACAATAAACTTATTATTATCAATATATTATTTAGTAAAAGATTAAAATTAAGAAAAAATTATCTTATATAAACGAAGTAGAAATAAAAAGGTTGTATATATTAAGTGGATCAAGGAAAAAAATAAAAGCATGCAACATTGGAGTGATTTCAGGTGAACTTCCCTCTTATTCTTCGGAGTAATTATAAGTCATTTCATTCAGTCCGACGCTTATTCATCATCAAATCGAATAGTTGATACGGTTCGTGAATAGTTCAAGTTGTCAAAGTCAACCAAGTTTTAACTATTTATTTACTTATTTGTAGTCAAAGTTAATTAAGTCGCAGTTGTCAATTTACTACTTTGTCGTAAAAGTTAGCTAAGTCAAAATTATTGATTTACTTATTTATTGTTTTATTTGTAATTTTTTTATAAAAGAAAAAGTAAAATAAGGATAAATGTAAAAACTTAGAAACTGGAGTTTTAACAAACCCTAGTTTTAAAGTTTAAAAAAGCTACAAACTAAAATAAAATTATTTATTAACTATAATATAAAATTCACATTCTAATGACAGAAAATCTTATTAAGATATAATGTGTTTAGAAATTTATTAAAATTATAATATTTATTTTTAAATAATAAAATATTATTTTAAATGAAATTTAATGTTTTTTATACAATTTATATTTTAGTAATTGAATATACAAATTTGATATATTATTTTGAGATTATGATTAAAACAACAATTCAGTATAGTCATAATGAATATATAATGATAATGACAAAAATAATTCGTAATAATGATAATACTTCAAAATATAAATTATATAAAATACTGAAAAATCTTAAAAAATAATCATTGCACAATTAAAATATTTTAGATAAATTAGCCGAAACCCTGTTAACTATTTGGGTTATTTTCTTTTAAAAATCTCAATGAAAATTATCCCAGGAAAAATTCAAATGTTTTATTAAATAATTGAAACCTTTAAATATTTGATTTGTTTTGTTTATAATATTTTAAATTAATTATAACATATTATTAAAATTAAAACGATGAAAACAAACTGTTTAGAAAAGATGATTAGATAAGATAAAAACACTTATTTAAATTTTTCAATTTCCCTCTCAGCCTCTATATATATATATATATATATATATATATATATATATATATATATATATATATATATATATATATATATATATATATATATATAAGAGTCACTGGGAAAACACAAAGAAAAACAGAAGAACCAAACTTAGAATACAAGTAACATGACAGAGGCAGAGGTTATCATCTTCCGAGGAACACTTCGTGGCCACACTGATAAGGTCACCGCCATAAGCACCAACAACAATCCCAACATCATGGTTAGTTCCTCACACGACAAAACCCTCATCGTGTGGCGCATCAGAAAGGACTCCAACCCTTGCGCTTTTCCAACACTCCGGCTTACCGGCCACTCCGAGATCATCTCCGACGCCGTTTTGTCCTCCCACGGAGAACACGTCATCTCCTCCTCATGGGACGGCGAGCTCCGCCTTTGGAACATCACCAACGGCCACACCAAGCGCCGCTTCGTCGGCCACACGAACCAGGTCCTCTCCGTCTCGCTCTTCGACGACTCCGTGATCGCGTCCGGCGGCCGTGACAACACAGTGAGGGTGTGGAACGCTTGGGGACAGTGCATGGCGACCTTGGACGGAGACGGCGAGAACGGCCACACCGATTGGGTTTCGTGCGTGCGGTTCATCCCGGCGGAGACGCCGAGGCTGGTGACGGCGGCGTGGGACGGGAGCGTTAGGGTTTGGGACTTGGACATGAGTAACAAAGGCGCGTTGGTGAAGAGTTTCGCGACCTCCGGACACGAAGGTCGCGTGAACGCGGTGGCGCTGCCGCCAGACGGGTCGGTGATCGCAAGTGTCGGAAATGATGGGGTGGTGATTATATGGGACATGGAGGGAGGGGTTAAGCTTTACGAGTTTGACGTTGGTTGCGTTGTTCTTGCCATGTGTTTCTCTCCCAACAGGTTCTGGTTGAGCGTTGCCACAGAAGATAGAGTCATTGTTTGGGACTTGGAGAGTAAGAAGGTTCTTGAAGAATTGGAGGTTAAAGTAAGTCTCTGCAACAATCACCATAACCATCACAAACACAACAACATTCACGGCGATTACCACAATAATACTAACAACGATGATATTGGAATCACCACCTACATACAACAACAAAAAAACAAATCTTCATATTAATATTCTTATCTTTTTTGTCTTATCATGTTATCTAGTATTTGATGATATTCTGATGTTAATTAATATGTTTTTTTCTTCTTTGGAATTGTTTGACAGAATAGTCATTGCACAAGTATGAATTGGAGTGGCGATGGGAAGACATTGTTCTGTGGTTGCACCGATGGTGGAATCAAAGTATGGGAAGTCGACAGTTTCGATTTTTCTGGACAAATTTAGTGTTTTTTTTTTAACAACTGTTTAAAACAACATTCTTGGATTTTGTATAACCATTTGTTCTTCTTTTAATTTATGATACGTTTTTTTTTTCTTTGATCTTCTCTTTTTGATAGAAGATTACGGATTTTTCGTCCTTAGCGTGTGTTTGATTCCACAATTATAGTTTTTTTAGTTTTTCTCTTAATTTGGAGACCTGACAGTTAACTTTGTTAGTTTATTTATTTAGTTATCCAATTCAACTTATCATAATTAAGTCTGAATTAGATTAGATTGAGTAATTATAATAAAAATATTGTTATTAACTTGATTTTTAACAAAACCATCTCAAAATCAATATTTTTAATATATATTTAAGGTAGTGACAATATTTATAATATAAATATAAATACTATAGTTTTTAAAATATGGAGATATCAAAACAAAATTCATATATCTATTTTACAACTCATTTATAAAGTAAAGTATTTACTATAATAAATGTGTCATTTATATAAAAGAATGAAAATACTAATCATTTAAAATTCTTACATTTTCTAAAAAATCTTTTGCATTAAACCTTTCAAAATAAGGATTCCAGAATAGCTATGAAATAACACATTGAGTTTGGTGGCAAGGGAGTGAAGAGGATTCATATTTTAATAAATTTTAGAAAGTATATATTATTTTTATTTTGAAATATATGGAAAATATATATTGAACAGGAAATGCTCAAATATTCTATTATTATATATCAAAAAGGAAAATGTATTATCTTAACAACTTAAATAAAAATTATTTTGATCATCAACTCATAATCTATTACATATTATAATGTTTTTTTTTGTTGGATCCATTATTATGTATAATCCCTCTCATAGGTAATATATCTAGTTCAAAGACTTGTGTATAAAAGAAAATATTCTATTAAATTCTTAAACGATTTTGTATAATTTATAATTTAATTAATGAAAATATGTTATTTCTGAATGTGGTTGATTTCAAGAAACTCTAATATATATATATACGAAAAAAAAAATCTTGATTGGTGTCAGTTCATTGTTTTAATTAAGATAGTCAGAGAAATTAGATTGAAGGAGTGACAGAAGTTGATTCAATTTTGAAATGCTATATTAAGATTGAACTAACGTCACTCTTCTCCTTTTCTCTCTGTTTCTTGTAGCACCAAATCATAAATGTCAAAGTTTAGAATTTGAACTGAAGATAGCTTACCCTTTTGCGTCAAGATCAAGTTTGCATCATCAAGTTGCTCCACGTTGGTCTCTGCATTATCAAAGAAAGGCATAAAGGGATTCATGTCCATGTTGTCTTTCTTCAAATTAGCAGAGTTGGAAACGATGGAGTGTAGATATTTGACGTCATTGGAGTACACCTTTTTGGTTTTGTAACCATTTTTGGATTTCAGTAAGAGTTGAAGATGAAGACAACATTTTGTCTGGTGATGCAGATGGAAAAAGGTCCATTTATCGTTTGAAGAAAGAGAGCTTTCAATGATGAAAAAATCTAAACATCTTCAAATTCCATGAAGATTATGCCCTTTAATTATGTGCTCTCCTGCTCACTGTTTCAGAAAGTGAAAAAAATTTAACATTTTTAGTATAACGTGACAAATAACCTTACTTTAATCAAATATTTCAAAATAATTTGTTTCTAACTTTAAACTAGTTTTTTTTAATAATTTAAATATGTTCAGAAAAAAATTATAGAATAAATAAGACAGAAAAAAATCATAATTAAATTTAACCTATGCAGAAAAATAATTTGTAAAAACTCATAATTTTTTAAAATTATTATTTTATGTGTATAAAGTAATCTTATTTTGTGAAGATTTATTTTTCAGTGCTTATTGTCAACTTAAGTTTGGTAGACATGAAGACATCTTGCACTTGAATCAACTGAAAAGAATTTTTTTATTAATCTTTTTCCATATAGTTAAAAATGAAAACAAAATATAAACTTCTGAGAAGAAAGAGAAAGGTAGGGTTTTATTACGTATTAAAAGAATAAAACATGGTTATTTTAAAATTTTATATTTTAGTTTATTAATGATATGTTTATCATCTTGTATGTTTTTGCTTTCTATACAATTAAATAAAATTGTTATTACTTTCATCCTTTCCAATTTCTTGTCTAAAAATGAACAAATCATTAGAGTTGAAAAGTTTAACTATTTAATATAGAACACAATCTTACAACATTAATATAGAAAACTATACTTAATTTTCTTGTAATTTATATTTGTAGAAGTAATGCATTTATTTATCACCTACCAAACAAAATAATAGTATCTTCCAAGCATATTAAAATGCAAAGAACGGGTTAGATTGGTAGAGACATATATAGGACATCTTTGAAAACTTTGAAACACAACCAAACAAGCCTTAAAGTTTCAAGCTGTCCATTCCCTACATTTGAATAGTTTTGGCATAAAATCTAATTACATTTATGAGTTATAACTTCATGAATTTGGTTCATCATCCTTCACATATCTGCTGATAAATTTTCAAATTTCATTATTTTGAAAGGAAAATTGATTCAATATGTAATTTTATGAAAGACCAATTTTGAGGATAGAACTCAACAGTTCTGTTCTTGGTCAAATTTCGAGGTTAATTTGTTCCAGAAAATACTGTTTAAAGGACAAATTAGATATTTTCCGAACTTCTGTTGACAGTTGACATGTTTCGTAACGGACAAAACGTGATAACAATCTAACCAACGACAATTAAAAATCTTTCTTCTGCAAATTTTATAACAATGCTCTATTTAAATCTCGTATTAATTTGTTGCTCCATTAACATTTAAATATTTCATAAAATGAAAAATAAATTAAATCAAAAAGTGAAAGATATTGACGTACGATTAATCAAGGATAGAAATCAATTTCACCAAACCCTCACGCAAGCTCTGCAATTATTTGATGGAATTAATTCAAAACCAAGTTTTATGAACGAAGATCAATTAATACAAACTCAATAAAATATCTTGTACAGAAGAAATACATTAGGGAAGTAAAATTTCAAATTAACCATTATTACATATTGACATCAATTACAACTACAAGTATCTTGAATGAACTTGGGGGTTTAACATAAAACTAGATCTCTAATATTAGTCTTCAATCTCCACTGGTGAAGAACAAGAGCCAAGGTCACGGATCTGCACATAATTGTTAGAGAGAAAATTCCTAGAACAAATACAATCAGTTCAACAATAAGACTTTGAAGGTTTGACCGTGAATATTTGAATCCTTAAAAATAAAGATCCACAAGAACATTAAACAACAAAACAAAAATTGATTGTTGGTTCAACAAAGAAATATTCCAAAAGGGTTACTCCATGTACCTTGGAGAGGGTAACTCCATGCTGTAGTATTCCAGAGGGATCTAATCATGCACATCTCTTGAACAAGATTACTCGGGAGAAAGAACGCAGCAAGACAAAGGAGGGAAAAGGACAACGGAAAAAGTTATACAAGAATAGAATAATTGGAAAAATTAGGTTTTATGACAAAAGGAGAGAAAGGTGTAGAGCTCCCTTCAATCCAAAGAAGGATATTACTATAGAGGCGAATGAAGCTCCCCAGATATGGAAGCCACAAGACTACCACAAAACCTGTCGATGGGTAGAACTGTGGGATCCATAGCTAAGCAGCTCTATCCACCCAGCAAAATCCTCGATTGGACTTCAAGGAGCTCCACTCCATAACCCCCCCTTCTCAGTTCTTCTCTGAACTGCGAGGTCAAACCCTAGCTAAGACTTCACCCAAAGAGAGAAGAAGGATCAAGAACAGCCAAGACTTTCTTTCTCTCATGTTTCTCAGAAAGAACAGCAAAACAAAAAACCCTAGATCTGAGATCTACCATCCTCATAAAATTGATGACAAAAGGTTCTATATATATACATGGGGTGAGAGGCCATGATGACCGACCTACTCCAAATAGAAAAAAGCACTGTTAAAACTACCCTCAACAACCCCAACGCTATTTGAAAGGGTTAAAGATAAGGGTCCATCCACAACCCTTGACCACACTGAAAACCCTACCTATGAACCCTACCCCAACCTACTCTCGTTCACTTCCATAAATAAGGCTGGTGGAAAGGAACGCATGCAGTTTTCACCACCTCACCACAGCTTTTTTATCCCTTTGAGCTTCGAGAAAATAAATAAAAAAAAGAAGAAGTAAAACAATAATAATATGTGGTGAATGATGCTGATGATGATGATGGTAACGTGGTGGACCAGGTTCAGAGGTGCTAGCTGTTTTCTTTCTTTTGCTTTTGTTGGATGCTTTATCGCCATATGTCTCGGGAACCTCCTTCCTTAGATTCCCTCTGCAACCTCATCACGTGCCCTTCTGCCAAAGCCTCCATATCTACCCTAATTTATTTCTCTCTTTTTACTGCTACACTCATTGCTCTCTTCTTACTTTTCCTCCTCTTACCATTATATGTATACTTGATTTTTCATACATATTCAAATATATAATTAATGTATTAATCATAATTATGTTTTAATTAATTATTCACTGATTATTAGTGTGTATTTTCAATTAATTATTCACTTATTATTATCTATATTTTAATTAATTATTCACTTATTATGAATGTATATTTTTAATTAATTATTTATTACTAATGTATTTTTTAATTATTTACTTATTCATTATTACTGTATATTTTAATTAATTATTTATTACTAATGTATACATTAAGAGAATAACAAAATATTAAATGTCTTATTAATTTTGTAAAATGGTATTCCTTTTATTTTATTATCGTTTTAAAGGTTTTTCTTTATGAAGATAGGATAAATAATTATTTTCTCTTCTTATAATTAATTATTTGTTGTATTCTAACATATGATTTCTTTATTATCTTATATATGTTATGTTGAGAGATATGATTTATTTATTTTGTGTTATCTTATTAAGGTTTATTTAGTAAATAAGATAAAATATGATAAAATGGTGATATTTTAATGATATAGTAATTATTATTATTGTATTAATAAAATTAATTATTAATATATATTAAAACCGTCATTTTTAAATTTGGTAATATGATACTTTATTATAATATATTTTTAAATAAAACATAATAATAGTCTTATTGTGTGACTTATTTTTATTTTATCACTATTTGTAAATAATTGATCATACACAGAAGAAATATATGTTTGTAATACAACATGGGTACCCGTTTATATTAATGTACATTATTTATCTGTGTTGATAAATGTGTTAAATTATATATATATATATATATATATATATATATATAACGATAAAACTATAATAATATGTTGAATATTTTTGAAATAAATATTTTTAAATTCACCTTTAAAATAAAGTTTTATTTCATATATGTATATATAAATTTTATATTAATTTACAAATATTTGATATTTTAATTATCTAATTCAAAATTCATGTACTTTCAAAATACATGGTTTAATAAGGAATTTTCATTTAAATATAATTATATTGTATATATTATTATTATTTAGTTTGTTATACTGTTGTATAATACTAAATAATGTATAATTTGATTTCATGTCGATTAAACCGTTATGAGAAAAATATTTGATTATAAATAAAAAACATGTATAATATTTTTTTTCTATAATTTTAAACTAGTGTTTTAAGTTAAATATTTTACGAGAAAATAGAATAACAATTATTATAATTAATATATGAGAAAACAAGTACTACGTCTTTCCGGTGGTCACAATAACAGTGTCTCCCAAATCTAACGCTAGATCTGAAACATGAGGGAGAGAGTGATAGAACTACCCGGTGGGGAGGGAGGGAGTGTGAGTTAATCATGAAACGCGAGGGCCTTTCGCGCTTCGACATCACGTGAGTGACGATACCCGCAGGTGATGATATGACAACCTTCAATCGTTGGCGCGTCCTCGATCTGTGTACTATTCCGTGGCTTCTTGTTTGTGTTCGACGTGGCCCACTTATTCACGCACGTACCTTTCAACTTTTTTTTTTAATTAATTCATATTTTGAATTTTCAATATATTATTACTTATTCAATTATTATTTCAAATAAAAAAAGATAAAATTTAAAAAATATATTGTTTTAATAAATAATATATTTATTGTACTTAATGTGGAAGAAAAAAATTCAAAGTACAATTATTTAAAGCAAAAATAAGAGTATATAAAATATGATGTAATATACAAAATAATTATTTTTTCTATACAAAATAACACCTCTACGGAACGAGTGATTTAGAAATATATGATGAAATTTTTTGGATTGAAATTTTTTGAATTAATGGATTTGAAAATATTAATTTTTAAAAGTTTTGAAAGATTTTTAAATTTAAATTTAGAATCTGGAATGTAATTTTATTATTTTGAAAAGATTAATCTAAAAAGTTAAATTTAAAAATAATTTTCACATATATAATTTAAATTTTGGGCTAAATTTTTTTCAAAATGAATTTTATGAATATTGTAGAAGGCTTTAAAAAAATTTTCAAAAGTTCGATCCAAACTATTTTTGTAGTCGAAAAGTTATTGGAAGGGTAAATTCATAATTTATTTATATTAAGGATAATATTCTCTTTTAAAATAAATATGACATGCAAGAAGATAATATTATCTTTTAATTTTTCAAGAATATTTCGTGATTATTTATCGAAAAAAAGTATGGATTTTTCAATATGGAATAGTACAAAATCACCTGTTTCATGAAATTAACAAAGTTAGTATTATATGTTCAAATAAATATGGGGTGCAGGGAAAAAAGTATGGGAGTGCGAAAAGAATGTGCCTAAATATAACTGGTCCATGTATAGTGGACGGCCCAAACTTTTTAATTTGAATGTTTTTGGCCCAAAACTTCTTCAACTCCATCTTTATCCCAACTTATGTGTAAAAACATAACTCACCAAGAAAAAAAAGGTAACTTTAGAAACTCAAATGAAACCCTAAAATATTCTAAGCATTTAGTTGAGTTTTTCTTAATTTTAAAAATTAAGATATTAATAAAATACAATTTTATAGATAAAATCCATTTACCCTATAAATTAAGCAACTACAAGAAACAGTAAATTAAAGTCCAATTTCCATGAAGAGTTTATATACACACATCATGTAATTAATTTAAGTATACTTCAAAATGCAGCTTTTAAGAGATTATAAAACTAATCATAAATGAGGCACTGGCTTAGAATTGAATTTTGACCTATCCATAATTTAGGGTTTAGTTACAAACCCTCATTACAAACGCCATTGATCATAACATTCTAGAAAACATAGCCTTTAAAGAAAAGATCTTGAAAAAACTTTTGTGCATCCTTAAATCTTTCACCATTACACAATCCGTCAAAAAGTATTGATCTTTCAATTCCTTGAATAATGCAATTGCCTTTAAAAACTGAGATTCCAAACATATGAGACTCTCCCATATTTGCATAAATCATCTATAAGAGAATGATAAGTCAATTCATTAGTAACCATATTTTCTCAATGATTTCCTTAAAGAAATTCATGGCCTAATTCACCATTTTAATGTTCTAAATCTAGTGGTTGACCTCTCTCATGCATTTCATCTATATATAAGACGCCAAACATATGAGATTCTCTCAGATTTGCATGGACCATGATGTATAAGAGAGCAGTAAGTTAATTCATTTGGAACCATATTTTTTGCTTGAATGTCTTTCTTGTCTCATTCACCATTTTAATCTTACAAATTTCACTAATCATGATAGTGTAGGTCTGAACATCATATGTAACATTGAATACACGTTTTCTACTCTTCACTTCATAAACTAAACCGTAATAATAAAACACTATATAACTAATAACGGTTTTTTTCCCTCAGTCAAAAAAATATTGATTTTATTAAATAGGGTCAAAAATTTAAAATTTTACTAAAAAATAGATCATATCTTAGGTAGGATGATTTTGATTCGAATCAACATTAAAATCATGTTATATATCACAATTTTAGTTATTTAATTAAAAAAATGTTTTATATAACACGAGTTATGTATAATTTATATTATACTAAATTCATGTTACATAGTACGAGTTTCATATTATTTTTGCTACAATGCAATAGTTGTAGCACAACTTGTCCTGTTGAAATCGTGCTATAATGCATGATTTTGCCTCGTACTAAAATCGTTCTTAGTGTCACGAATTTCGTCTGTGAAAAACTCATTCTTCCTATCACAAGTTCAATGGAATTGACCTTAAATCGAACTTGTGCAATGTTGCACGATTTTTGTGCAATTGGTTAGTTGGCATGAGTTTTTTGTGTGTTAAGGATCGCGAGAATAGTTGACATGAGCCTAATAATATAGCTTATTTATGGTTTACGTTGCTTCTAGTGATTTACTGTAGTAGATGATTTGAAGAAGGGGGTCCCACATCCTCACAAATCCACTCTAAAACCATAAAATAGTGAAAAGGTGGGTGATTGAGTAATAAATATCTAAATTTTTCTCATTGAATTTTCTCATTTGCATAAATATCTTATTTTATCTCACAAGAATAATTTGGTCATTATACTAAAAATACTATTATTCAATTATCCTACATTCAATCATATCAGCTATAATAAATTCATTCAAATCCATTATCTTTCTTTCAATCCAAACAATCTCACATATCCACTTAAATCACTTCAATACTTTTTCAAATCCCCACCTAAATCCAAACACAAACTTAGTATTGCAAATGATAAACAATATCATACTTGAAGAGTGAATGATGTGCATTCTACCATTTGGTTAATTATAAATACCCCTTATTATTTCAAACCCAATCACACAACAATTTTTATTATAACAGTAGTTATTTATTGAAGTTTAATTTTTAAAGGTATATTTCCTTCCTTTAATTTTAATTTTTATTTAAATTTAGTTGGTTTATTTTATCTAATATACTTTATATTATTATTATAATTTTTTATATTTAAAAGGTATATTTACTTAGTTTAATTTAAACTTTTATTTAAATTTAGTTGATTTATTTTACATAATATACTTTATATTATAACTATATTTTTTAGTTTTTAAAAATATATTTACTTGATTTAATTAAAATTTTTATTTAAATTTAGTTGGTTTATTTTTCCTAATATACTTGGTACTATCACTATATTTTTTAATTTTTAAAATTTATTTACTTGGTTTAATTTAAAGTTTTATTTAATTTTAGTTAGTTTATTTTACCAAATATGCTTTTAATTCTCACTATATTTTAAAAATTTTAAAAGTATATTTACTTGGTTTAATTTAAATTATTATTTAAATTTAATTAGTTTATTTTA